TTAATTTTTAAATCGCATAAGAAAAGCTAATTTCTCACAAATACTTGGGTGCGAATGATTCACCTTTTATGAAACTGTAAAAGTAGAATTAGTACAGTACACTAAAATTGGAATGAAATATCACCTAACTGGTACACAAAAAGGGAAAATTTTGACTCTCAAGGTTAACGTCTGCATTTTTTAAGGTTGCGAATTGAACACAAGTTTAGCTCCATTTCACAATTCCTTAGAAATTAATAGAGCACCCTTCAAATATCTAATGAAGTTCTGGCCTCACATCTCATGTGCTCACCAAAACCACACCTTAACATGCACTCCACTACAATCATTTATGAGCCCCAAGTGTTGTTGGCATATACTCAATATCGAACAATAATTCCTTTTACTTAGTGAAAGTCATAGAGACCCGCTTGGTTGATGATTAAAATTTACAACCCATTTCTAATTATCCTAGTTCACAAGCCCTAATCACCCCTCTTCAATTTTTTTTTTTTTTAAATCTCAACAATTAAGATTCTGAGTCTTCTAATAAAAGACTCGAGTTAGGTAAAAAAAAAAAAAATCTAAATCAAAAGTTAAGAGCTCACAATTAATTTTTTCCTCATTATTTTCTTAATCTTTTATACAAAATTAAAAAGTGTTATATAGTTTAATATTAATAATTATCTTTATCTAATTATTTTTATTTTATAATTTAATACAATTTAAATTATAAAATAAAAGAACTCAAAAAAAATCTAAAACCAAAATTAAACACAACCTTCGTTTAATTTTATCTTTTCTAATGGTAATAGTAATAGTTGTTACCAATAATTAATAATTTATTGGGTTAAATAAAAAAAATTTATTTTTTTAAATAAAATTTTAAATTTAAATCTTATGTTTGTGTATAAATAAACTAGACACTAAAAAAAAAATTGCACATCAGGAGATTAGTAAAAAAAAATAGTAATACTTGCTTTGCTTAATCTTAGACAATTAAAGAAAATTATTAATGAAAGTCTGCAAAAACATTTAATTTGGAGGAGTCCTAACGAGTCAACTGACATGTTCCAACAACACATTAGTCAATTTCCAGGTTTATGTCTAAATCAAATTAACCCATTAATCACACATTAAATACGAGTAAACTTCATTTTAAAAAATTTATTTTATTAAGTAACCGACATGGCCGCCAAGTTGTCAGTCATTATTACCCCCAAATCCCATGCTAAACACGGACTACCGTATGATTAGGTCTATTTTTTTATTAATTTCTCGTTATCCTATACTTATATTATATCTTATTAATTTAAAACCAAACCATGTTAAATTTTATTTTTCTATTTATAAGATTTAAACTCAAAAATTAATTTAAAAGAACGAAAATTTTTTTCTACTCCAACCAACATTTTTACTCTAACCAACAACTGATTACAAACTTCACTAAACAGCTCAATGGTCGCGCGCTTTCATTGAGATAGGTAAACTATTCATCTGATTTTGAAATCGAATCTCTAATTACTAACATCTAACAATACTAACTTATTAATCATTTTACTTTAAAAAAAAAAAAACTACTTATTGCGATGATTAGGTCTACTAAGCCGACACGTCAACAGACCGAGGGCATTTTGGTCATAACGGATAACCAAGTCAAGAACTTTCCCCCAGGCACAAGTTCTATCATACTCGTATGTTAAAGGAAAGATCTGAATCATTCTCCTCTCTGTTTCCACCTCACGAAATAGACCACAACCAAACAGGAACTTGGTTTGTTTTTCTGACTCATTATTCTCCTGTTCGCCGGGAACTTGATCTGATTCTTACACCTTTCGTCGGTGATTTGCGCATTCCGAGGAGAAAGGAATCGGCATCCACTTTTTGTTCGAATCTCGAAAACCACTTGGCGTACTGTGAATTCACAGCTGTTTTGCTTTCTGTTTCTGTTTTCTTTTCTCCGATCTCTCTTCTTTGTTTCTGCAATCTGTTCCTCGGCGGTGAAAATGGCGAGGCGTGGATATAAGCTGCGTATCCTTCCTCAGCTGACATTACTGTTTTTTAGAAATTCTTTTTTAAAAAGTTGAGATGCTTAGCTTGAGTTTAACCATGTAATTGTCCAATGGATAGTTTATTGCAGTCTTGAAGTGGATTTCTTTTGAGGTTTCTTTACTTATAGGTTTCTAAGAGTAAGAGCTTTTTCTGTGGTTTTGCTGTTTAAATTTAGCTCCCAGTTTGTTTTACGGTTCTGTTTGGTTCCCAAGAAAATGGAGGAAAAGGGAAAAAAAGTGGAATCTAATAAAGGAAAATCTCAACTCTGCTGATCTCGCCAGCAGGTTCAATAATGTGAACAAAATCAAGGTTACGAAGGCGTTTATTTTTCATTGTCTTTGTTGCTGTGTTTTTTCCTTCTTTTTTTTTTTTTTTTTCTTTCCCTTGACTGAAATGGATTTAGAGGAGTTTGTGGCTCATTCAGCGGATGTGAACTGTCTATCTATGGGAAAGAAGCGGTGTCGCCTTTTGATTACTGGTGGGGATGATAACAAGGTCAATCTTTGGGAAATTGGGAAACATAATTCTTTAATGGTAAGCTTTTATCTTTATATATCTAAGGTTTTAGTATCTCAGATATGTTATTTTTTGAATGGTCTCTTCTCTTTGTTGTTGCTCTGTTAATTTTAGTAAGTAGTTATCTAATTGATGGTGGATAAAATAATGATGTTTGTGTTAATGTGCAGAGTTTTTGTGGTCATACAAGTTCAGTTGAATCTGTAGCTTTTGATTCAGAAGAAGTCTTGGTGCTTGCTGGGTCATCTTCTGGTGTGATAAAGCTCTGGGATCTGGAAGAAGGAAAGAGTAAGCTGATGCTTAACTGTTTTCTCTTTACCAATCAGAACCGTAGCCAAGCTGAAATAGCTTTTTCTTCTTTTATCTGTTGGTTAGCTATATGTGATAAATGTTTTTGTTTTGAGAGCTAACTTGACATAAATAAAAGAATATGTTTAATGCAAATACTTGAAGGTGATGGCAGCTGGTTTGTGGTTTCGATGTGATATACCAATCTAGGAATATACTTCTCAGCCTTTACCTTTTTTTCCATTTTAGGATTGGAACTAGAAAACTATCTGTTTTTTCCATTATAAATTTGTATTAGTAATTTTCTCATTAACTTGTAATACATCCTTTTTTCTTGAAGTATAGTGGTTCGAGGTCTTACTGGACACAGATCCAATTGCACCTCTGTGGAATTTCATCCGTTTGGTGAATTCTTTGTGACTGGATCTATGGACACAAATTTGAAGATCTGGGATATCAGAAAAAAGGGATGCATTCACACCTACAAGGGCCACACACGAGGCATTAATACTATCAGGTTCACTCCTGATGGTCGCTGGGTAGTTTCTGGGGGATTTGATAATACTGTAAAGGTAATAAGGGATTGCACCACAAGAAGCAATAATGAGTCCTTGGTTTCTTTTTCTTTAATCGCTATATATCCCTTCATTTCTGGATAGGTGTGGGATCTAACTGCTGGAAAGCTATTGCATGATTTCAAATTCCATGAAGGACATATCCGTTCCATAGACTTCCATCCCCTTGAATTTCTCCTTGCCACAGGTGATTAATTTTGGTGAATTCATTAGGAGTTGCTTTTGAGTCTTTGCACACGAATGTGATAAGAAGTTCCTTCCTCTATCGATTTATTTTATGTTGGAAATTTTAACGTTTCTCTGAGAATACTTCATTTGGCTGTAGATTCTTGCACAATAGGCAATTATTTTAAATGTTGCCCTTTGCTGCCTTAAACATGCGATTATGCTTTGCTTTAATGCTATAAATTTGCATGCTCAACCATGCCCTTGATAAATTCTTGTTCCTATATGCACTAGGCTTCCTTCATACGCTATATGATTTCCTATCCAAAATATTATTCTGGGCCAAAGCCATGTGGACAATGGTGATAGCTAGAAATATTTAGGTCTTTTTAATGGTTCAAGCAGCACTGCTTGCATATAAAATCCAGAAGTAGTTATGATGAGCAGTGAAGTTATCAAGGTTCTTTAAGTTCTTTAGGGTTGTGTGTGTGTTTATTTAAATTAAAAAGTGAATGGATAGGGTCATAATCAGAGTCTAGTTTGAATAAAATCATTATTCGTGTATCTGCACCTTTTATTTTGACCACAATTGGTATTCTAGCTAGACATTTTAATAAATCATCCACCATGCTAATTGCAGATGGGTTTTCTTTTGCCTGTCCTTCATGTTTGCAAGTGCTTTAGTGCATGCGTGCATGGCTGTACATGTGATAAATTGGGGGGGAAGGGTGTGTAGGGGACTAGGCATTCGAGGAGTATGAAGATAACTGCCTTAGCCTGTTGACATAGGCTATTTCTGGGCATCTTCTAATCATTAAATTACTATAATAGAAGTGCCAGATGATAAATGAATCATGATCTTCTTTTCTTTGAGCATTTTGCAGCATGTTGCTTTGTTCTTTAATAAATATGTAGAAAGTTCCAGCATTTGGTGTTTCCCCTCCCCCCCTCCCTCCCTTTTTGTTCTCAATTGTTCATTTTGGATTATGTGATCTATAATAACTCCCTACCTTTTTTCCTTCTGAACTAGCATCTCTCATTGATTTCTTAAATAACATGCAATTCAATTTTCCAGGTTCAGCAGACAGAACTGTTAAATTTTGGGATTTAGAAACATTTGAATTGATTGGATCTACCAGAGCGGAGGTATCTGAGCTAATGTTTTCTAAACTAAAAGTTAATTGATTGTTATTTGTTTGGGTCAAGATAGCATTTTCTCTGGATATAAAAGGAGAAGTAAGAAAGATATTGCATCCGTAGGGTATACATTAATTTTGACAATTAATTTACTTCTGTTGTTGCTAGTAATCAAGAAATAAGCATTATCAATGTAGTTGTTCTTTCTCCACTTCTGGCTCCCCATAATAAATTCTAATGAATAGAATTTCAAAAGACATTAGATATTGTCATGTTGCATTCCTGATTGTATTCCTTCTTGTCAGGCTGCTGGGGTTCGCAAACTTACCTTCCATCCTGATGGAAGAACCCTTTTATGTGGATCAGATGATGTTTTAAAGGTTTGGATTTTTCCCATTATGGAATAATTGTGTGATTTTACATGTAGTGGACCATAAGCATTCATTTTCATTGTTGATTCTCATTGTAGGTTTATTCATGGGAGCCTGTATTTTGTCATGATTCTGTTGATATAGGATGGTCAACACTTGGTGACCTTTGCATCCATGAAGGAAAACTTTTGGGTTGCTCATACTATCAAAATTCCGTTGGAGTTTGGGTAGCAGATGTTGAGGTGTGTTCTTTTTTTATCAACAATTTTTCTCCTTATGGTAGTAAAATTTTTACTATCATCATTTAATTGTGAGCTCGAGTAAATCTCTGTAATCTTTGCCTCCTGACCATTTATATTTGTCAGCATATTGAGCCATATGGAGGTCGAACTATACCTGAACAAAATGACTGCATGGAGAAGAAATGTGATCTCAATGGAAGTCACTCTATGGAGAAAGTAGGGATTGGTTTGAGGTCAACTTTGGGCTTATGCTCTAGGTCTCCTGATGATGAGACAAATGATATAAAAAACATATATGTAGATAGTGAGTATCTCTTCATTAAAGTTCAATTTCACATTCACTTTTAGCATTTTTTAGCTCATAAATTTTTAATATTTTCTTTTATTAAGTCTATTGAATCAAATGTTCACATGGTCCACATCCCACTGGGTAAATTTGATTGTTTGAGAGGACAAGTAAAGTAGGAATTGAAGTTCTCAGACAACCATGCAAGTGCATGGCAAAAGTGTTTGTTTATGATGAATGTATAAATTATGAGGCATATTTATCTTCTCTGTTTACTGTTTCTTTTATCGTATCTTCTCTAATGTGGTGTTCAATTTTCTGTGTAAAGCTACTGCTGGACGTCCTGTTGCTTCACAGAGAGTTGGCTCTTTAAATTCTCCAAAATTGATACCCCTGTTGGATCCCAATGAGATAAGTAATTTGCCTGCAGAGAAACAGAGTTCTGTAGTAGAGATTCCCCTAAAATCTAGTGCACAAGCAGTTGACAAGTCGATCATTGTGCCTAGCATTGTACCTAGGAATAGTCCTGTTGAGAAAGACTCTTCCAAATCTGGAAGAGAATCTATCGCCTTTTCAAGGACAAAACCTGGTATGTTGCTCAGACCTGTTCATGCCAGGCAGCTATCTAATAGCAAGTATGAAGTTGAAAAGCTGTCAGCAACATCCGAGTTTGACACTTTGAGCAACACAAAATGTAATTTAGATAGTGAGAGGCATCTGAATTCTGAAACAAAAATCATAGAAGAGGATGGAGCTACAAAATCCTGTGACGATAAATGTTCAGGCATCAAAGGTGGTATTGAAAAGTTTGAAAAGACTTTATCACTACAGGCAACTCATAATCAAGAAACCAGTACGTCATTGTTCTATATTGTAGTTTCTACTTTCTATTTCTCCAAGAAGTGGATTCTAGTTGTATATTTGTTACATTATTCAATTTTCCTGTTTTTCTTTTGAAAATTTTTGGATTATAAATTTCTTCTGTAGACTGTGAATGCTTAGTTTCCTTACTTTTCAGGTAATGATTTTCATGATTGCAACAAAGATACAAACTCAGTCAAATTTGTAAATGGAGGTTTGCCCTTGCTTTCCAGCTTTATAGTTTTTAAGAAATACCTCAAAAATAATTCTTTGGGAATTTTCACTTTGGCAGTGGCAGTTGTTCGTGGAAGAACACGTTCTCTGGTTGAGAGGTTTGAAAGAAGAGAGAAATTTAATAGCGATGAAAGTGAGACAACTGTCATCACACCTCGTGTGACATCTGAAACAGATAGAACCTTAACCATGATGGTAAGATCTTCCCCTCTTTAAAATGTAAGTTCTGTTTGGATTAGCTGTTAGGAACAGCTGATAGCTGATATAAAAGCTTATATCTATTATTTTACAGTTTAAAATCAGCCTATAGGCTGATGTTTCCGAACACCTTAACCAGTTATTTAAGGAGATAAAGGCTATAGGTTGATAAAATCAGCCAAACCAAACACACCTGTAATCTTTTATGCTCTAGATGTAAGTGAGTCCTTTACTTGATCTTGAGTTTTAGTTACTCCATAATCTAGGTCTTTATCATAAAAATGCCTCTAATTTAAGCTTTAAGGTGTTGTTGATTACATTCTGGAGACAAGGTTGAATTTTTGTCCAGTGAACATGTTGAGTTGAATTGTCCCTTCATGTGTCCATTTATACTCCTGGTTCTTATTTTTCTTTGGGGTACAATACCCCTTGGTAACTGTTTGTTTTCCAAAAAATAGCTCCCATTTAAATCTTAGAAATTTCCTTTTCCCACTTTATTCTGAATTGTGCAGCAGATCATTTGAGTTGATGTAAGTTATCAAATTCAATAAAAATTGAGTTTCCACTTAATAGTTCTATTTCTATATCATAAATGTTTCTTTGACAGTGTGGGAAGAAGTTAATCCAATGTCTGTAATGTCTCTTTCACAATGTTGGAAGAAGTTAATCCAATGTCTTTAAAAATGTCTCTTTGACATCTTAGGAAGAAGTTTAATTAGTAAAATGTGAAATTTATTACCAAAGAACTCTAAAATGTGGAAAGCAGCAATTCTTATAAGGCTTGCTACTTCAGTTGCTATACAATGAATCTTAGGAAGAAGTTAATCCAAAGTCTTTAAAACTTGCTAGGCTGACTGAAGTCTGAACAATTGGGTGGATTCACATGTTCATGCACTGTTGCATTTCCTTATTTGACTGAAATCAATTAAATATTTCTCATGTTTGTTTACTAACAGAAAGCAGAGCCTCAAATTGAAAGGCAGTTGGTGTCAACTGGTGACCAAAATATTACTGAAAGTTGTCTTTCTGAATCTGGAAGGGAATCGCAATCGCCTTCTCGTGATGGACCCATTATTGGAAATCAAGTTACTACAACAGAATCAAGCTTTGTGAATGACAGGAAGGTTACTCCCATCACCGAGGGGCAATTGACCCCTGCCGGTAATGAAAGTATTGCTGAAAGTCAATTTTCTAAAAGGGATTCAACATCTACTGGTGGTAGGACCAGTCTTGGAAGTAAAAGTACAAGAAAGGAATTAACATTAACCAATGACAGGAAGGTTACTATTACAGAGAGTCAAATTTCTAGAGAGGGATCTAACTCTTCCCGTAATGAGATCATATCAAGAAGTCAAATTGGTAGACAGCGACCTAGCTTTGCTAATGATAGGAAAGTTACCATTACAGCAATTCATGGTTCTAGAAGGGAATCAGCCTCTCCTGGAAATGGGACTGTTCTTGCAAGTCAAGTTCCTAGAATGAGAACAACCTTTGCCACTGACAGGAAAGTTACTATTACTGAGAGTCAAAGTTCTAGAAGGGAATCAACCCTCGCTGGTGATGAGACCTTATCTGGAAATCAAATTTGTAGACCACGATCTAACTTTGCCAGTGATAGAAAAGTTTCTGCTTCTGAAATTCAAATTTCTTTATGGGAATCAACCTCTCCTGGCAATGGGACTGTTCTTGTAAGTCAAGTTACCGAAATGGGATCCACTATTGCTTCTGATAAGAAGGTTATGTCTAGTGAAAGTCAAAATTCTAGAAGGGATATGGTCTCTGCTAATGATCGAAATGTTGAAGGGGACCTTGTCTATGCTAATGACAGAGATATTACTGAAAAATTGATGGAGACTCACGATGCATTCTTAAGCACTCTATGCTGCCGCTTAACCAAACTGCAGGTAAGTTAATCTACTCATTTTAATTGATAGCATATGATGGATGTATGCAGGTTTTTACTTTTCTATTCTTACCATAAGTAAAATATAATAAATGTGTAAAATTGTAATATCAATGGTATTAATAAATATGGTCTGGAACATCTAATGAGTAGCTTCACATCTGCAATGACTGACCATCTTTGGTACTACTGATGAAAAGAATGCAATTTAGGTTTTTGTATTGTGTATGGAAAGGAAATCTCAACTGTAGTATTCAGTTTTTGTTTTGATCCTACATGATGTTCTTCTAGCATTCTTTGCTTGAACTACCAATTAATTTTATTTATGAACTTTTAGGTGGTAAGGCATTTTTGGGAGCGGAATGACATTAAAGGTGCCATCAGTGCCTTGCAGAAGCTGCCAGATCATTCTGTGAGTTTATTATTATTATTGGAAGATTTCATCTGTTTTGCATAAATTTTTTTTATAATGATTGTAAGTAGTTGGAGTTTGATGCGGTAGGAATTGATTTGTCCTGGTGCAGGTGCAGGCAGATGTCATCAGTGTTCTCATGGAGAAAATGGAGAGTTTCACCTTGGATCTCTTTTCGTGCTTGCTTCCTGTGCTAATGAGCATGCTGGATAGCCAAATGGAGAGGTAATTTAAACTTCTAAAAGTTCTGTTGTAATAGGGAGGTACCACCTGCTCTTATATATATGCATGTCATTGCTGGACAGATACATGATTTTTTTCTCCCTTGCTCTTACTATAACTGAGTCAACATATTAAGTCCCTTGAATGTATGTTCGAAAGATTTTAATCACAGTCAATGTGGCTGTCTAGGCAAGAAAATGCAAATTTTACTTAAAAAATAGATTAAGAGAAATTTCATAATGTGCAGGCATGTATGTGTCTCGTTGGAGATGGTTCTGAAGCTTGTTGCAGTTTTTGGTCCAGTAATACACTCAACCATTGCAGCGCCTTGTGTTGTTGGTGTTGATCTTCATGCTGAGCAGAGGTGCCATTCTTGTACATCATGAGGGACACTTGTCTCAGTTTGTTTACAATTGTTGTTTGATGGAAAGTTATTTTTTCTGTTTTTGCTTATGTGTTAACCAAAATTTATTCACAGACAAGAATGGTGCAATCAGTGCTTCATGCAACTACAAAAGATTCAGAAACTTCTTCCAGCAATCGCAAGGTGAGATCCATTTTTAGGTCTCAATTTCAATATGCATATTAAGGTAGCTTGTTTTTATGGTTTATGTGTCATATAAACTTGAGGGGTCTTATATGGGGTTTCAGATTGACAACACAAACACCTTCTGCTCAGAATTCTTAGGAGTCTAATGTTACTGGTTGTCCCTATATACCTCCTCATTAGCAAAAAATCAATGACCATCCCAATGTTCTTAACTGCAGTTGGAGTGTATCATGTAATTTTTTTTTTTTTCTCATCTTTGCTTTTCCTGCAGGAGAGGCGGATTGTTAGCAAGAAGTGCTCAGGAATTGAATCTAGTTCTACAACAATCATAATCAATGCTGCCTTGGGAACCATCTCTAAGGCACAAAACAATGGCTTGGCTGGTACTCCGAACAACAGGATACCATGTATGCGAGGCTTTTTACAACTTGCCTCTCATACTGCAAAATTTCACAATTTTGCCTCGCTACTTCCCGAACATTCTAATGCCATCCTCACATCCATCAGCAGTGCGAGCACTAGCATGAGTTGGTCCCTTGTAGCTCTAACTGATCAAGGATGGAAGAAGATGCCTAGTGAATCGCTGAATCTCAGTGTTTGTTTTGGGTTCTACGCAGCAATATCCCTGCTATCATTCTTTGATTCATGATATTGTTATCAGTATCATTCAAAATTCATGTAATCATGCGGCAATGCAAATGTGTACTGCACTTCCAATATTCAATAAAATATGTAAATTTCTTCTCAAAACTGTCTCCATTGGTATCTTTGTATTGAGTTCTGTCATGGATTTAATGTTTGATTTCGTGAGATTTCTTTTGTCTTTCCATTTCTATGTAGGACAAGGAGGCAAATCATTCATCTGGCGGGATGCATGATACTTGACTTGTCTTTAGGCATAGACTACTAGGATTCCCTACGCCGCATATATGTTTGAAAAGGGTAGTTCGAATTGTATCCCTCATTCATCTTTTGCAGGGACCCTCCACTAATGAAAATGAAGGAATGTGTTCAGGCCAATCAAGCAGCATTCTTGGATTTTGTAAGTGATGCTTTTAAGACTTAAATATTAGTTTATATTATACAAATAAAAATGTAGTATAAACCTATATTGTAATAGATTGTACAATATAAATTATTTATTAGGGGTGGGTCTCTCTCCTTTCATTCAATAATTGTAGTTTTATATTTTAATGTTATTCAAATTGTAAAATAAAAAATTGTTATATGGAAAGAAAATCATTTTATTTGTTATGTTTGATGTCTTCATTAATCATTAGGAAAAGGTAGATGATAAAACATATAGAACTAGTTCACATGATTCTTTCATTAAAGTAATGTGGAGTAATATGGATTCTAGCAGGAATTTCACGTGCTTTTGTGTTGTTGACTATGTTAAACTATATATATATATATATATATATATTCTGAGAGGCCTCTAAAGCTACATTCTATGCTTGTTTTTCAGGCCGAATCATCTTTTGCTTTTGGAGTGAACATAATTTAAGAATCCAATGACTCTTTTTTCGTTTATGTACCTATTTGGTGTTGTGGTGTGGGGATTAAGGGTGCCTTTTATATTGCAGTGAAGTGGTATGATTATAATTGTAATTGTAATTATATTAAATTATATTATATTATAATTATGATTGAAAGTTATTTTGATATTTAATTATTTATTTTTTAAAAATTTAAACTTTTGAAATTAAATTATTTCATTTTTAATATAAATAATTAAA